CCCCAGCAGGTGTCGTCATCGCCACCTACAGCATCTACACCTTCGACGAACAACGCTCGTGGCGCACTGCTAGCCCACCCATCGTCAACGGTACCAGGGATTACATCGAGTTCATCTGTCGTGAAATCATCGGCGCATACCGTACCCCGCCTACCAACCGCGAAGCAGAAGAGCTCAAGGCCTTCCTCAACAACCAGCTCCTCTGCTACGCCGCGCACGTCGACGTTTTCACAAAGAAGTACTCGGGCTACTGGGCAAAGATCACCGGGTTCTGCGCAGAAGGACCTATCGACAACCGCATCCCACACTTCGACTTCCTCTCCGCGTACTTCACCAAGGAGTACAAGCACGATTGCGACATCCCCATCGGCAAACTCTGTGTCTCACCCTTCCACTTCGCGTCCACTCCGCTCTACCTCGAGCACTTCCACATCCCGCGCCTCGCAGCCCGCGCCAGGAAGCTCTACAAGAAGCTCGAGCCCACGCCTGACTGGAACAAGGTCGACATCATCGAGATCGACGCACAAGGCAAAGAAGGTCAAGACAACACCGCTCCCTCGTCAGACCCGCTCCCCTTCCCCGCTCCTACCGCAGAGGACGGATACCCCGAGGGTTCCGACACTTGAGCTACCGAAGAAACCTCGTACTCAGAACATTCGTGATATTTGGAGTCATCTTCTTCCTTCTGTTCCATCAGACGATCGTCATCCGCAGCTTTGTCACGAACTTAACCTTTTCTCTGAAGAAGAGAAGTGTGCTCTTGTTGGACAGTGTTTCGCTTGGGGTTCCCACATCATCTATAACTCTACGCTAATGCCGTTCCCCTACATCTATTGGGGAAAGGTTATCTCCTACGGACCACACCATAACTCCTATCCTCGCCTCATTCCTGGTCTCTCTGTTGATCCTTGGTTTCACGTAACATCACAAAACCCAAAAAACAGCTTCCCAGCCTCGTTCCGTTCCCCTTTCTCACTACGTCCTTGCACTCGTCACATTACAAAAACCCTTCTACAAACATAGTCTGGGCGCTTCATTGGCCGTGTACAATCAACTTGTTGACTTCATATCTTGCTTGAATCTGCCGTTTTGGAGTCAGAATATTGCGATCAAGCGTCCGACCCAGACAGCGAGGAAATAGAACTTTGGCAATGTCATTTACCCACTCCCACATCGCCCAACATGTCACAAACTGTAACCCAAACTTCAACGTATGCGGGAGCTGTATCCCAATATGATCCAAGATACAGAGGTGGAGGAGGAGGTGGAGGAGACGGCGGAGGACCCTCCTATACAGAGAACCCACCGGAGCTCCCACCTTTGTCAGACCTTAAAGGCAAGGGACAGAGTGGTGGAGGAGGAGGCGGATATGATGGTAGTGACAAAGGAAGCAGCAACGGTGGAGGAGGAGGTGGAGGCGGAGGCGGAGGCGGAGGTGGAGGAGGCGGTGGACCGCCAGATGACTACCCACCTCCTCCATGGACGGATTCATGGGCTCCCACTCCAAATGTGGACGATGTACCCAATGATGAGCTTGCAAGCGTAGCCTTCACCCATTTCATGAACATGATGCGGTGAAACGCTCAGGCTCCTCGACTTGAGCTTCGGAAAATCTCCGACTTCACCATGAAGGAAAGCGCTACAGAGGCGGAGGACTGGATGGATCAACTTGAGGCCTTGTTCCGCATCAAGAACATCACCAGTAACACCGTCCGCATTGAGACTGCATTGTCTTATTTCGTCAAGGACGCAGCTCCTTTCGCACGCCAAATCCGTTCGCAGTGTCTTCGCTACAAGGAATGGTGGAGACAGTATGCTCAGGCCTACCAGAACAATATCGATCATGTCCCAGAACCCCCAGTAGCGTGCAACACCTGGAATGAGTTCCGTGCCAAGTTCATGCATGACTATGTGGACGTAGACCCGGTAGAAACCGCTCGTGACAAGATAGCCGTGCTGCGCATGCACAAGAACCAGCGCGCAGATGACTTCTTGGTCGAATTCCGTAACCTGGCAGAACGTACTGGCTATGATGGTGCTGCACTGGTACGCATGCTGCAGCAATCACTCATAGAAGTACCCGTGCTACTCGAGAAGGTTCTCTCGCTGCGCAAACGTCCAAACGGCGCAAGGGAACAAGGAGCTTATTGTCCGGAGACTTTGGAGGAATGGTATGCGACCGTTGGAGACTATGATCGGGCTTATCGTCAAGCGCATGCACGCACACTCGAGGCCAAGAAGCAGAATACCCCTAGTTCATCTGCTTCTCGCCCCAATAACCAGCAGTGCACCCCGAACTATCGTCCTCCTCCTGGTCCTCCTCCGAACTATAGACCACCTCCAGGACCTCCACCGCCACCACGAGGTCCTGCTGGATCATTTGCTCTGCGTCCTCGTCACCCCAACTATTGGGCACCGCAAGGACAAGTCAATACGTCCCCTCCTCAAAGCCGTCCACGCTACGATCGGCGTGACGGTACTGGCACAACATATGGAGGCCGCCGTCAACCCATGAATGTGGATCTCAATCGCACGGATATGAGTCAAGTGGAATGCTACAACTGCGGTAGAAAAGGTCATATGAGCCGCGAATGCTGTTCCCCACGCCGCGCTAGAGCTGGACCGTCCCAACCTGCGCAAGTTAGGCAGGTTGATGCATTGCTCGCGCAACAACTCTTCTCTGGAAAGTCGGAGGACTCCCTTTCCATATTCTCTCAGGCTCTTCAACAAGCCCAGTCAACTAGCTCTGCCAAGCCTGCGCAGGGGTTTTGATGCGGCCGGAAGTAAACACAGTGCCTCCGGTCGAAACTTCTCATGAACATTCGGACTCTGACTCGGTTAACACGACGCAATGTGCCGCGTCTATTCCTGTACTTGTACCACAACCCGAGAATGAACATGATGATTCTTTGCTTGTTAATTCCGTGCTCCTTTCATACAAACAACGTCGAACTACGATGGAGGGTAAGAGTTTCCTGACAATCCCACGCGACAGTGATGTCGTCCGTCCAAGGCGTCAGCTAGACATCCCTGCCCTTCTCCAGTCCCCTATGGATGAGGATCTCTCTGTAGTGGTGCTAGCCTTGTTAGATTCAGGGTGCACCACAACAGTTATGGATATCGAATTTGCTCGCCAGAAAGGTTTTGAGCTTAAGCCTGTCACTCGACCTATACCGATCCGCAACGCAGACGGATCTCGCAATTGCGCTGGTTCTGTTACACATTACGTAGAACTGGTCTTAACCATTCAGGGTCACAAGGAGGTACTCCCTGTGCCACTTGCGTCTTTGGGCTCCTGTCCCCTGTTTATTGGTTATGACTGGTTGGAATTCCACAATCCTAGCGTCGATTGGCGGCATCATACTCTGGAGTTCAGCCGCTGCCCTTCCTCTTGCGGGACGCTGCATGAGGAGGAGGACATCAATGTCTGGGAGGATGAAGGATTAGAAGAAGGAGATCACATCTTTGCACTGGATATAGCCGCTTATAGCTCCGTTTGGGAGGAAGAGCTGGCTTTCCGTAATGCTATACATATACGCGCGTTTCAAACCAAGGCATCTGAGATAGCCAAACAAGAAGCAAAGCGTCAAAAAGATCAAACATTCGCAGAACGAGTCCCATCACCTTATCACGACTTCAAGGACGTCTTCAGTAAAGAACACTTCGACAAACTACCGGAAAGGACTCCTTACGACCACGCTATCGAATTCACGCGCGACTTCAAGCCTGTTATGGGCAAAGTCTACCCACTATCTCCTGCAGAACAAAAGGAGTTAGATGCCTTCCTTAAGGAGAACTTGCTATCGCAACGCATACGGCCTTCCAAGTCACCTATGGCCTCACCGTTCTTCTTTATCAAGAAAAAGGATGGCACGTTACGCCCTGTTCAGGATTACCGCAAGCTCAACGACATGACCATCAAGAACCGTTATCCTCTTCCCCTTATTCAAGAGCTCTTAGACAAGCTCAAGGGCACTCGCATCTTCACCAAGCTTGATATTCGGTGGGGATACAACAACGTCCGTATCAAAGAGGGAGACAAATGGAAAGCTGCATTCCGCACCAACCGTGGCCTGTTTGAGCCACTCGTCATGTTCTTTGGTCTTACCAATTCGCCTGCGACGTTCCAAGCTATGATGAACACCTTGCTCAAGGACCTGATAGAAGAAGGACACGTCATCGTCCACCTAGACGACATTCTTATCTTCACCGAGTCGCTCGATGAGCATAGACGCATTACTCGCCAAGTACTGCAGATTCTCTGTGACAATCACTTGTACCTCAAGCCGGAGAAATGTAGTTTTGAGCAGAGCTCTATCGAGTACTTAGGCATCATCGTGGAAGAAGGCACCTTTCGCATGGACCCTGCAAAGGTCGCTGCCATCCGTGATTGGATTACACCTACAAAGAAGAAAGATGTCCAGTCCTTCATCGGCCTCTGCAACTTCTATTGCCGCTTTATTCAGGACTTCAGCAAGATCGCGCGACTGCTACACGACCTTACGAAAAAGGATGCACCTTGGCACTGGGGAAGTGCCCAGCAGCAAGCGTTTGATGCTCTTAAGGACAAGATCATGTCCGCACCCGTC